AAATTATTAAAAGAAAATTCTGTACACAGAGTAATTACAAGAAAAAATTTTTCATATAAAACTAAAATTGGCCAAAGTATAAAGAACCTAAAGAAGAAATAATAATTTACACATATAAAGAAAAATTAATTAACTTATTTATTGGACATGATCATGATATATTTTCAGTTATCCGGTTGCACTCCAAGAGAATTGGGATATCAAATCAAGCCTCTATACCAAATCAATGACTCAATGTCAATTAGGACACTTAAAGCAAGAAATAATCAATATTTGAGTCATATGTTGTCATATATTATCCTAATCTAATTGTAGGATAAACACTAGCACATTAAACATGTAAATCATGTACTATTAAACTTTGAAAAAACTTTGACAGCATAATGAGTTGAAATCGTGATGACCTAAGTTTTATGCCCTCTCTTTATATTATTTTAAAATAAAAAAATACTTCATATATATGTATAACACTAATTTAAAAAAATTGCAACATAATCGATAATGCTAGAAAACGGAATTTTCTGTATAACAATGCCGTGTTTTCTAGAACAAATACAAAGCAATATTATAGTATCATTTTCAGAAAATAAAATAAAAATAGCAACCCCTTTTTTAAAAAAATTGAGGCAAATAGAAAAAACATAAACATTATTCCAAAACCAAGAACTAATTATCCAGAGAACAACTCAATATAAAAAAAAAAGGCAATTAAAAACCTTATAATTCAAAGCAATTTGTTCTATCAGATTGACCAACATTATACATCGTCCAAAGCAAGTAAATTCAACATATATATAAAGAAAATTTAATAAAACAAGGCTTCAAATAGTTAAATATATCACTTTTAATATAAAAAATAAAAGGAGAAACAGATGCACAACAATGAAATCACAGAAGAAAAATAGTCGCATATACACTCTATACTTAGAAGACAAAACTACCAGAACTCAAGAAAATGATGGGAGAGAATAACAAACCTAATAGAGAAAAACTTGAAAAACACGAAAGAAGAAAGCCAACGAGTTCCCAAACACCAAAATTCAAAAAAATGAGACGAAACCATGGCAAAGCATGGTGATGGCAATGGCGAAAAACGATTGGGTTATGCCAGAAATTGGTTTTTGATCACAATGGGAGAGTTTCATAGTGAATGGAAAAATATTATGGGAGAAGGAGAGTCTTTGAATTTTTCCAAATCGCAACATTCTAATGGCAAAATGAAATCAACAAGTTTTTTAAATGACACTCTTTAGCAGTTATTTTAATAATTATTTTAAAATAACCACTAAATATTTAGTTGTTATTTGCAAATAACCGCTAAATATATCTTAAGTTTTAAAAATTTGTAAAATAATTATTTTACTTCCTCTGGTTCAAAATATAATAAGCTTTTAGGAAAGATTCGCATACTAATAAAGTCTCTATTCCCATAAAAATATATATTATTTTTTATCCCTAGTTCAAATTATTAATGCACTTCATGATGAGTGAGAGATACACTTACACAAATATCTAGGTTAATAAATATAAGGAATAAAATGGTAAAATTTTGTTTCACACATACTAAATTACTTATATTTTAAATCAAAGTTAGCTAAAGAAAAATGTTTATATTTTAAACTATAGGAAACATATAACATTTACTAAAACTAATTGCTATATAGTGGTTGTTTTAAAACAATCATTATATAGACTTTAGGAGAAAAGTTTTAAAAAGAGAAAAAAAGTCTATTTAACAGTTTTTTTGAATAATTATTATATAATTCCATAGACTATTTAACATTTATCTTAGTTAATCGTTATATATTTAGATGCATCCAATTTCGCCTCTTCTATATAACGGATTTTTAATAACCATTATATAAAGGATGCTATATATTGCATATTTTTTAGTAATATCACTATCAGTAAATGATTAATGTAGTTTAGGCATTTGTAATTTTCTTTCATCATTTTCTTCACATTTGTAAATTAAGGGGTATTTTTGTCATTTTATAAAAATTAAAGTAGTCATCTTAGTTAACCGTTATATATTCAAATGCGCCCCAATTTTGCCTCTTCTATATAACATTTTTTTAATAACCATTATATAGAAGTTGTTATATATTACCTATTTTTTAGCAGTGTCAGTAAATGATTAAAATAGTTTAGGCACTTATAATTTTCTTTCACCATTTTCTTTAACGACAATTAAATTCTTTGAGACTTATAAGGTATTATTATATTTTGTAAGATTAAATTATTATTATTTTATTATGGAGGGATTTATTTGTGATTTTTCCTAATAGAAGAAGCTAACCAAAACGTGAGTTAAAAAAAAATGCAATCAACCATTTTTCTCTTGGGACCATGACTTATAACGGGTGTGTGAGTGTATAAAAAAAGAAAAAGAAAAGAAACATTTTCTAAAAAAATTATATATTAATACAACATATGATCCATTTTTACATCACACCTAAACATCTGCACAAGTTAAAATTTGTACAATATAATCTTTATAAATAACAACATAAACTTTGTAAATAACATTTGTACGAGAACATGTATATCTGTTGGAGCAAAATTTGCTGGAGCGAAATCTGTATCAGATTTACAATAACCTTCAACGATCATAGAGGAAGAATTTTACAATCTATTCTAGAAGTGAGTTTTTATCTAAAGAATATGTTAGAATTTTGTCTTGAGATGCAAATCGCATGTCTAGGAAAATGAAAATTCAAAGATCTGGGTGGAGAGCTGCGATTTGAGCATGGTGTGATTCAAGGGGAACTTGATGAGGATGATCTGGATCCAAAAATTATAAACAAGGCATAGGAAGAGAAGCAAGTCCCAATTATAACGATGGTGTTTGCAAACGCACGATCGTTTCTTCTAGTCCTCTTCTTCTTTTGCCTTCCTGTCGCTCCGTAATCAGAAGCTCTCCTTCTCGCTGTGGGGCACCGAACATAATCTCCTACTTGATTATTATAATTAAAAAAAGTTAATCATTTAATCCTTATCATTTTAACTCAATTATAATTTAATCTCTAATATTTAACTTGTTTTAATTCAGTCTCTGAAATTTTAACTCAATTATAAATCAGTTCTTAAACTTTATCTCTTACAATTTAGTTCTTGAAGTTTCAACCTCTTAAATATTAGTTTTTATATTTTAAAAAATAAAATTATAAAGATTAAAAATATTTTAAAATTTTAAATATTTATAGTATTTATAAATATTAAAAGGATTTAGTAATTTACGATATTAGTAATAAATTTTAAAATATTTTTAATTTTTATAATTTTATTTTTTAAAATATAGAGATCAATATTTAAGAGGTCAAAACTTCAGGGATTAAATTACAAGAGATAAAGTTTATAGACTGATTTACAATTCAATTAAAATTTTAAGGACTGAGTTATAATGAGTCAAAATATAGAGATTGAATTATAATTGAATCAAAATTATAAAAATTAAATGATTAATTTTTTTCTTATAATTTTGATGCAAGGAAGAAGAGGAGGAGGAGAAAAGCGTAGTTGAGCAGTAGTGAATTATGAAAGAGATAACTTAGTCATTTCTGAGAGACAAATAATTACAAATAAGGTCCTTTAGACCTGCAGAAAAATTTCAAAATTTATTGAGCTTTATCTGCAAATATTTTCATTTTGAGGGCCCAACATTTGATTAGCCCTATAATTTAGGGGGTGGTGGGGTGGGGGGAGTGGGGGCCAATGGATCATTAAGGACGCTCAACAAATCCACTGCCCTGATCCTACCCGTCACGCGGGTTGCCCTCGGGGATCAAGTCAGTTGGACGACAGGTTGAAGTCTCTCGCACGCGCGCGCGCGCACTCCCTCCGTTCAAAACACTCTCTGAAAATATAAAATATTTTTTTTAAAATCAAATATTTATAAATATAAAATATTTTTAATTTTTTAACATATAATCATTATTTTTTTTTTAATATCTCTATTGATAGCAACTTTATATTTATTATAAGGTATTTAATAAGGGTAAATATAAAAAAATAAGGTTGGTTAAAAAGTTGATAACTACTTAATTGAGAGACAAGATTTAATTAAAAATGTCTTATATTTTTAAACGGAGGGAGTACACTCATGTTATTTTTTATTATATTTTTTTAATGAATATTAATTAAGTGAATGTGATTTCTTTTTATATACATTATATAAGTAATACAGATTGATTTTTTATTATCATGAAAATTTTTAAGAGAACTTAATATTTTGCTTTTATGTATGATTTTAAATTGATTTCTAAACTTGATATATTATGTAAAAATAGTGCATAATTATTGAATTAGTTTGAAATTTGGAAAAAATTACTTTTTATTGTCAGCTTATTTTTTAAGGGAATATATTGTAGATGGAGATAAATCACATTTTTTTAAAATAAAATTGATTTAATATTTTTTTATTAATTTTTAAATAATTTCTCCACCAACCTTGATTTTGTCTACCGAGTTGGCTTGGTCTCCACTTGATGTACGAGGACAGAACAACGAGGGTTGATATAGTGCCCATTTTAATTTTAATTTATATTTAATAAAAATATATTTAAAGAATTTAACTATTTGTTGGATTTGATAAAAATATACCTCAGATGTAATTTGCATTTACTTTTGAGAGTTACTCAAACAAGTATATAGTCAATCCAGTCTCATCCGGCTTTTGTGCATCCAACTAATAATTAAGAAAATCCTACTATGCCCATACTGTTTTCTACTAATTTAATTTAATTTATCTAAAAAAAAAAACACTTTGAAGCAAAAGACTTCCTTTCCTCCTCCAAGGTTGGCTTCAGTGCTCATAAATTGTGATGAACATCGAAATCCATCTGGATAGTTTGGATTTATTTTTTCACTTATATATATATATTTTTCAAAAAAATTGTATTTTAATGGATATAGAATTTACTAACTATCGTTTTTCCCAAAAAAAAAAATTGAAATTCTGGACTAAAAATTATAAATCTAAAACTCTAAAATCTCACATATTTAAATCAGATTTAGATGGTTTAGAATTTATTGCAGCTATAAACACCGTGATGATCCATTCTCATCAGAGTGACAAGCACCAAGACTAGACAAAACACATCCTCCGTCCGAGCAGTTAAAGTTGACCAACAAAACAGGCAAATATATGTGTCCCTTCCTTCTGACTATGTACGTATATATGCTGTTTCAACTTTCAAAGACGCAAGAAGTTACAGCTGCTTACGTAGCTCGAAGCAGCGCGCACATGTAGATATATATAGTTCATGACCAAAGAAACTATAAACGTCCGTAGCACTGCCCAGTCCCAGCAGTTGAGAAAGATGAAATCATGAACCTCAAAACTTAACACAAGAAACAATCATACACACACAATTGAAATATATATATATATATATATGTATGTATGCATATGAGAGGAGGGGGAAGAGATCAGAAAAGCTACAGCGAAGTGGAAGTGAAGGAACGAAGGTCCATCTCCTGGGTCCATGCACTTCTGTCCTGAACGTGCAATTGCCAATAGGTTTCAGCCACTGCGTCTGGGTCCATATCTTTGCAATCCCCACTTGATCCTGATGTTCTCTCCCACGACGACGTCGTTTCTTCTTCCCTGCATCATAATCACAACCTCTTATCAAATAACGAGACATCGACTATGAGCAAGTGCACCACAACGGGAAATTAATTAACCTGGCATGGCCGACCACCCCGTCAATGATAATATGAGCTACGTGCACTCCCTTGGGTTGAAATTCCCTGGCCAAGCACTGCGATAGTCCTCTCAATGCAAATTTCCCACAGCCTGTCCATTCACATCACATCTCACTCTATTTCTCTTAACTGAAGGAAATCAAACAACACAGATCGATGAAAATGAGTTTACATAGTTCAGAGAAACCAGCAACGCCGTTCACAGAAGCTGAACACCCAGTAAACACAATCGTGCCCCTTCCTCTTTCCACCATGCCCGGCACCACCTTCATCCACACACACACACACACACATGGTTCAACTGATCTCATTCGATAATACTTGTTTGAAAACGAATGAACAACACGCATGTACATGTATACTTACCTGTTGAGCGCAGAGGAAAGCACCGAGGGATGAAACGGCGAGTGATTTCTGAAAAGAGTCTAGGCGAATATCTTGGAAGCGGGTTGCGTTGAGAGACGACTTTGGAGGCTGGTAAGCATTATAAATCAGAACCTCCACGAATCCCAGAGAGTGGACTCCTTCGAACGCGTCCCTCACACTTTTAGCATCCGAACAGTCTATTCTAATTGCAAATACCTGCTCCGCCTTTTCCTCCCTCGTTATCTCCTCCGCCAATCTTGACAGCCTCCCTGTTTACATTCCAGAATCCCCAGTTTTCACATTTTAATTTGTTTTCCCGATAAACAAACAGAGCGATCGAGAACACTTGCCTAGGTCTCGAGCGAGGATGGCGACGGTGTAGCCGTGGCGAGCGAACTTGTGGGCCATGGATCTGCCGAGCCTGGGACCCACTCCTACTATAGCAGCTATGCCCCGAGCTCCATTGGAGGAAGAGTTTGCCATGCTTCGCAGATACCACAACACCAACGTGACTGACTGTGTATGAGAAAGCAGAAGAAGGAAGAAGAAAGATATATACCGAAGAAGAAGAGAGAATGGAAGGAAGAAAGAGAGGATAAAGAGTAGTGTTGGGGCCGCCGGGGGGGTTGTTTGGCGCGTCTGAATCTTTGCCTCCTTCATAAAAGGCAATCTCTCTGCAACGAGCAGGTGGTCTTATTATTATTACTACGTATCTCACTACTCCCTCTCACACTTAATTATCACCATCCCTATCTTGTCTGCTTTTATATCGCAATTAAAGTCCGTGTGATGGAGACTCGCTAGCTGTGTCTCGATTGCATCATTGAATTGATTGACGCATTCACTATCATCTACTGTTATTGGTGTCTGAAACCCATAAAAAAAGGGGGCAAATTTTATCAATTTCACTATAGAAACTTGTAGCAGATATTGCAAATAATGCTTTCTCCTTCCTCGACCTGGCATGTGTCTCCAATAGCTTTAACAAGAGATAGGACCAAACCAAGGATCAGAAGGATTGAAGGCAGAGAATAATTAACAATAGCTCAATCATCGCGCACTTAACCACCAAAAACCAGAAAATTACAAGATTTGTTCTTACCACATCACTTGCCTTGAGTTTTATCTCTTGTGTGTGAGTGGATATATTGCAATTGCTTTTCCAAATCTAATGATTTGAGAGCTTGGCAAGAATTGTGGTGTTGAAAGCAAATGTAGATTTTAATGTATGACGAAAGTGATGGTGAACTGATTGGTAGTACTCTTAGCAAGAACCTGTACGAAGAGGATAATTTAGATTTAATTTCTTGAAACCTGTGAGGAAGTCAAGTTAAATCTTTTACTCCCGCTTAAGTTGTTCAGTATATGTGATTTACAATTTGCGGTTACGAATATTCAGAAATAAAAGAGAGCAGGTGCAATTATGCGAGTTAACATAGCATTGTAATTGAAGTCGGCGGAGTCATTCAAAGTCCCACATCGGGAAAGTAACGAAAGTTCCTACGCGAAAGGAACTATAAAATGGGAAGCAAGCGCCCTTTTTCAATTACGCAGCCACGCAGTGAGCACAGAGCGAACTATTCTTTCGCCTTTTACTAAAGAATACCGTGTGCACGCTGCATAAAGTGGCATACGCCAATTTTTGGGAGGGTCCCACCGATGTGGGGTCCTACATGTCAGTCTTAAAGTATTTCTTGTTGCTTACTTAATTTAACTAGTTTAAACTTGAACAATTTTAAGTGACATCCTGCATTTTTCAAGTTCGTTCAGTATTGTGGGCCATCTGTGGCTTCAAGCCTTGTGGTCCATTAGGTTCTGGACTGATAGCAGGAGGCCCAGAATAGTAGTACGAAGAATTCACATTTGGCTCAGCGCGTCGGGGGTGAAAAAATAGCTGATAGTTAGGATTAATAATTTGGATCAAGTTTAATGAGTTAGTCTAATCTAAATTCATCTTAAAAGAAATTAGAGCTGAATTTGGTTATATAAAATTTTTTAAAAAGGTAGAACACTTTAAACTCAAAATAAGGTTGATCCAAATTGAGCTGGAGCTAAATAAGCCCAATTGTTAGAAATTTGAACTCTATATGTATATAAAGTTAATAATTTTGATCAAGTCTGACGGGCCAGTCCGAATTTGGCCAAAAAAAAGTTAAAGATGGGTTTGGTTGTATGGACTTTTTTAAGAAGATAGAATACTTTAAATCCAATCTAAATAAACCTGGCTCGTTCGAATCACTAGCTTTATTGATAGCAATTCCTATCTTTCTTGGGTGGGTTTCTCCCTTTTACTTTTTCTCTCTACTATCTCTTAACTACAAATTTAAACCGTATAAATTAAATTTATATTTTTAAAAATTATAAAATTTAAATATTTTAAATTTAATTTAACGATCAAGATTTGCACTGATTTTTTTCCTTGCTCTCTTTTGCAGAGAAAATTTAACTCCATCTTTCTTCTATAGGACCTACTTGAAATTAATTCTCTATAATGGTCCTTAACTAAAATTTTAGTAAATTATAAGACTTGTCAATAATTTGCAACTAAAATTAATTCTCTATAGATTACAAGACCTGTCAATAATTTGCAACTGATGTTACTAAATTACAAGTAAAATTAGCAAATTAACAACAAATATTACCAATTGTCTAACAAACAGATTTAATTTACAAGTAATATTGGCAAGTTAATAAGTGTAGTAAGAAAATTAACAATCAGTGATTCTGCATAACAAGTGAAGGGTATTTTGGTCTTTTCATGGTCAAAATTCTTTTGACTTTTCTCCATTAGATTGAACTGAAATTTTTAAAATTTTTTGGACCTACTTGAAATTAATTCTCTATAATGGTCCTTAACTAAAATTTTCTCTAATTCTAACATTAATATCTTTTTATAAAAAAGAAAGAATAGGATGTAATTTGAGTAAATAAGTGAGGACATGTAACGACTGTTGATCGTGATGATGAGTATGGGGGAAATTAAGGGTTTAGGGTAGAGAAGTTTTATGATCTTTATCCTTGTGATTTTCTTCTTGTCCCCTTGATTGTAATTTCTTTTCTTCTTTCTACTACATTTTCTAGTTGTTTTTAAGACCATTCAGCTATTTTAATCAAAGATACAAGTCCCCATGACCTAATTTCATATCATTTCTTGAGTTATTGCTATTTGACTTCCTTGAATATTTCATGTGACCATTCCATTAGTGCTTTCATTGGGAGGACCCGTAATTGAAAACACCAGATTGATGGAGATCCAAATAGACCATATGAAGTTGATAGAGCTTGGGGAACAATGCAACTATGTGTATACGGTTCATATGGAAAAGGTACAGAGTTTCATAGAAGCTCTATCTCGTACTTTTGGTTGATCTTTCTAGAAATGTGGATTTACTAATGCAGCCTTACGCCAGGTCCTTGACTCAAACACAGGTCACCTAAGAATCACAATCACACCAATAGATTCAATTGGGATAGGTTAAGGTAGACTTTCCATGCTTTGATGAGCTAGGTCTACTTAGCTAGGTATTTTAGGCAAATAAATCTATTACTAATACAAAATGAAGGATACTTAGTGACTCCCCCTAGCTGCGGTTCATTTCGATGGCCTAGCCATTCCATGGTATTAGATCTTGCAAACACTAATTGAATGCGTGGGCTAAGATCGCAAAGGCAATGATCACTCATTTTAGGCCACCCTAATATGAGTGCCTTCGGGCCTAACTCTTCAAATTCACTCAGGTTGGAATAGTCACGGACTATTACACAAAATTTATACTCCTAGCAAATCATGTTGAAAAAGTGATCCAAGATGCCTTACTTGATTATTTTGTCAGTAGACTCGAGGATGACATAAGGCAAGTATCATATCTAAAAAAAACTGACCCCTAATTAGCTAGGTAAATGAGGTTAATTATGTAAATTAATGTAGTGTGAAGTTACAGAAATCTAACGAGTGTTTTGGGCTGTCGTTTCAACCCTAGGATTGAGTTCAGAGTAAGGTCGGGTTACCTGGGTATGAAAAAGTGAGAAAAACAGAGAAAAATGGCTCTATGCCACATGCCACGGTATGTGCACAAGATGCTACGGTGCACAGTGCCATCTAAACAAGAAGACCTTTCTCTATATCACATGCCATGTGCCGTGACGCACAGTGACAAATCTATAAAAATAAGACACAAAAACAAAAAAAAACAAAGGAAAAGCGAAGGGGAGACAAAAGAGCTCTACTAGAGTTTTAAGAATTGAAGTATTAGGAGTGTTTTAAGGCTTCCAAACACTAGAGGTAAGATCCTTAAGCTTGAATATCTCTTTCTCTTCCATTTTTCTTGAATTTGGAAGTTGTGGTTTAGTTGAGAAAGATGATTTTTGATTCATAGAGGCTATGAGTTCGAATCCATTACTTAAATAAAGTTAATAAAAGTTGTTTAAGCTATTTAAGTCTAGAATTTATGGTGTTGAGTTTTGGTGGTCGTGGGATAATAAATATTCAAAATTTCCACTATTAATGAGGTGGTTGGAGCAATGTGACTCTATTAATAGTTATTTAGGAGTTCAGTAAAGTTAATGAGAGTTAAAAGAAGCTAAGAAACCCTATAAATACTCTTGTATGTGAAGGGACTAAATCTTGGGTGAAAAAGTGTTTGATTAGATAGTAAAAATTATCCAAGAAAAGATATTGATGATTTTTATTGTGATCCAATATAAAGTGGTTGCATTTGTCACCATTTAAGCTTTGTAAAAGCTTTGGGATTGTGTGTTTGAGAGGTAAAAGTTTTGATTTTTCAAAGGTTTGAGGTAATTGAGGAAAATCTTCTTGTTCTTCTATGTATTAATTGATTTATTGATTTTACATATATTAACTGAAATATGTGAAATTATCTAGAATGCAAGTAAGGCGTAAAATATTTGCAAATGCAATATTATGATTTTTACAAAGTTCAATAATTGATAAGTGGAGTTCAAAAATATAATTATTGTAGAGTTCAATGATATGATTATTTGTGGAGTTCAACAATGTGATTATTTGTGGAGTGAATTGGAGGTCAATGATTAGTATGTAAGTGTTGTGTGATGTCCAATTGTGACTTGATTATGATGATTTTATGCATACTTGTATAATGAAAATTTGCATGCTATGAGAAATTGCATTTTAATGCACTATTGATCATGAGAGGCAAGGGTTCACCTAACAATAGGAGTCGGGGATTAAAATTCATATGGTAAGGCTGCCATCAGAGCTTGATAGTTTGCCTGAATTTATTATTCATATTATCCCACTGGTTCAACGAGAGATTCAAACCTAGCTAGTTTTTTATTTATTCAATGAGGAAGATAATTTAGGGAGAATGACACCCTATGTAACACCTTCAAAATTCTTTTTCCACATAATTAGCTTAGCCATGATAGATCCTATCTATCATGGTAAATAAAGGACAACTAAGTATTTCTTAAAAATAATTATCTATCATGGTAAACAAAGAACAACTAAATCTTTCCTAAAAATAATTCATTCTCTTGAAAGTAGTATCATGGTAAAAAAAGGACTATCATGGTGGAAAGAAATTAAATTACTTTTCTTTACAAATGAGTACTATGGTAAAAAAGATTCTAGCATGGTAAAAAGAAACAAACTAGATAAACTATTATGGTAAAAACAATTTAACATATTAAATAGTCATT